CCTCTACATGTTTCTAGATTCTAGCTTAACTACTTTGTTAATTGCAATATTTGCATTTTTACACAAGAATATTCACCATGAGAGTTAAAATTTAGTATTCCTTTGCTGTTATATAAAATATCTACCCCATAACAAACATACATTTCTGTGATAATGGGCCATGTGGATAATACTATTAATTGCATTTCTTCACTTTTTTATGATAATAAATGCCGATACTGTATTAAATAGTATTTCTTTTAACTCTACAACTCAAAGAAACCTTTAAAAATAGTACGTTTAACTAAGTTTCATACCTACAAGAAGAAAAATAAAGGTAAACACAATTGATATTCAGCACATAAATCATTTGTTCATTCTTCATTGCATTGATCTTAATGGTAAATGCAGTTTTCAACTGTATCACATCCATGAATCCCAAAAAAGTTTCTGAAATCTGCTCACTTTGGGTAAAGATACTCAACTTTATAAGCCTTTGCATATATAAATATCTTAACCCATTACCGCCAGTTTATTTTGAAGCCGAAAATAAAAGATTCTGGGCGGCTACAAGATCGGTGCATAGGGCTGGCCTGGACTCTGCCCACATGCCAGCCACAGCCCGCTGGTGCATCAGAGCGCGAGCCCCGATACAGCTTCACACTGGCGGGATGCCCGGTAATGTATATTTTTTTTTGGGTGTCTCATGTGTAGGACACCTCTCGTTACTGGGTTAAATACCCTAAATCTTTCAAAACAATGAGCATATTTCAAAAATACAAAAGTGCAAACACCTAACTGGTTCTGTTTAATGTGTAACCATAAAAGTAAAAAAGAAGCTATCATATCCATTCCTACCTTTTTACCAGGCCCATCAGATAAATGAGGCTCCTCCTCTTGACTTTCTTGAAGAGGGTTTACCTGGGGGTCGTTAGGTTTTAGAGCCATGGTGGGAGTTTCCTGTGACTGCTCCCATGGTTGATACGGTGGCTGTTGGTATGCAGTATAGCCACTTATGCTATTTGGTTGGGAGAAAGAAGTTACGCTACTGGACAATTGTTCCACGTTCACATCTGTAAAATGAGATCAAATATTGTATGAGTAGGGTAAACGGGCCATTTTTAATTAATGTAATATAAATTTATTAATGAAATTATAAAACATACCATGACAATGTAAAGTTACATTTAAGTTATGTATATCATGTATTGTGGTCATAATATCCTCAGATTTTCTTGCTACACAGTACATGTACAACTTACATAAACATTGTAACTCTTTATGGTCATCTAACTACTATTCTAAACACACACAAAAATTGAAATTTGAATAACTTTACATAATGTACAATATATACTGTATGTCTGTTTATTCAGCAAACAACCCTTATTATCTGAGACAACTATAATTTACATCAATAATACATGAAGATAATCAATTAATTTTTAAACAAGGTATTATGAAATAAAATCTTAGAAACCAAGATATGGAAAAAATAGAGGGTAAAAGTATTTTTTCTCTTTTCTTTTCTGTCCTTACATCATACACAGTACCCTAAATATTCCCTAAAATTAGAATGGGACAATACAGCTAATCTTACAAAATACCATGCTATCACACATGTTACAAAATTGAAGCTACTTTTGCTTTAAATTCAAAACATGATAATGACCTGAATCCTTTGTAGTATATGCATTTATGTGTATACCAGGGACTGATATAAGAGATAAAGTTAAGAATTTCCATATTAAAATTCTTAAAAAGATATTCATAAAAAAAACTATAAATATATATTTTGAACACATTATCTATACTTTGTTCACATTTTTACTTTGAGAAAATAACATTCTAAAAATAGTATATTATTAACATATACATGTGCACAAAGCCATAATATATTTCTTGCTCATAAAAGTTAATGCAGCAAGCCTTTAAACTAACCAGAAGATGGTGGGAGACTGCTTCTCTCTGTTCTGCGCTTGAGTGAAAGGGGTCATGTGAGGATCCATATGCTGGTAACCAGACCAATAGCTTGTATCATATGGTACATAACCAGACTGGTCTTGAGGGGGCTGCATCATTGGGATCTGGGGAGTTGTCCTCTCCTGTAGGTCAAATACATGCATATAAATTTAGGTTTCCACACAGATAATAAATATAAAACCAAATGTATCTATCTAGCCAGAGAAAGGTAACTTACCATGGGTTGTGATGTCCCATCACTTGGCTGATGCATTTCATTTTGCATGGATGGCATTTCTAAAGCATCTGTGCTTGGCTTAGATAAAGGTGGCCGGCTAACTGGTAGACTGTTCTGCTGTCCTCCATCCATTGTATCTTCTGCAGTAACATGACCATGATATGATCCATGAGATCCTTGACGATATTCATCAGTAATCATATCTTGGTGATAGGTGCCTTGGACTTCATTTCCTTCTACATTGGCAGAGGGAGCCTGGTGGTAGTAATTGTCAACTGAAACATTTTGACTGACATGAGTTTCAGCATATTCTTGGTCAACTTCTGTACTGTTGATCTTTGCCTTGTGTTTGGTTGTTTCAACAAGTTCATGTAGATGACTCAACCATTTTGGATCTGGCATTTCTAACAACTCCCCTTCACACATCTGATAGTGCAGATCATGATACTTCAGCCGAGATGCAAGCTCATACACTTGAGAAAGGAATTCTATTGGGTAGGACATGGATGCTCTGCTCACAAGTTGACTTATAACCTCACAATATCTATAAAAAAAAGAGAAAACCAAGTCAAGAACACAAAGTATGATCTTTCAGTCTCACAAACTTCCATTATACATTTGCTGTTTTTTATCATTTTCAATATTTATAACACAACAAATATTTTACCTCAATGCCTCTGCTGGGAATCCATATTCTGTTAATCTCAAAGCATATATCAGTTTATACGATTGGAAGGTCTCCAACACAGGGTTGCTGCTATCTAAAGATCTTGCAAATTCATAAACTTCAGTGCACTGTATGGCTTCATTTGTGGAAAATGCCTGTGAAGAAAAACATAAGTAGCGATAACAACATGATAATAATCTCTTATGTGTTCACTTCAATACATCAGTAAACAACACACAGGTTAATTTTTTCCAGCATCTTGATGATCAGATGCAACATTTGGCAAAGGAAACCTACTATTATGACAGCACTATAATATAGCCATTAGTATATTATTAGTAGTATCAAGAACACTGCTTCCTCTTTTAGTAGCCTGATGTTTACTTTAAGTATTTCAAGACTATTTTACATCAATCTAGAAATCCATTAAATGTTTTACTAAAACTAGTATATAATAACCTGTCTTAATAATTTCATTTCTTATTAATCTTAGCAAATTAACATGACTGAAGTTATCTTATAATAAATAAGTGTACAAATGAAAACCACCATATCCCACAGTTTACCCACCAATGAACTGCAGCAAATAGTACTGAGGAATGCTTGGTATGGCTAGTTTTGAAGACAGAATACTCTGAATAACTTTTTGCAACTACTGTCAGACTAATAACTGAACTTTTTCTAAAGGAAACTAATTCAATTTTAGGGAACTTATAACTCTCTTGTGTTGTCTGTATAACACTAAAGACAAAGAAAAAGAGGAAGGCCAGGACTATTTTTTTCTCTCTCCCATTATAGTTGGAGTGAAAGTTTTTGAATTTATGAAACTGTCAGTATGAAATATATCATGCTCAGTCACTACACTGCCCAAGCATGAAATACATACCACTAAGGGGCTTAACCCTATATGCACTATTTCCATGACCAACTTTTAACCCAATCACGCCGGGTATCCCATATCTGAGACACCCGAAAAAAATAAACACTCCGCGCGTCCTGCCAGTGTGACGCTGTATCGGGGTCGCGCTCTGGCTCAGCAGCAGGCCGCAGCGGGCGGGCAGACAGACTCCTAGGAAGCTCCGCCCGCCGATTTTTGTAGCAACCCGGACTTTTTTATTTTGGCTACAAAATGTACCCGGTGTGAGTGGGTTAATAAACATCGAGATAAAATAAGTGCTTTTGGAGCTTTGTCTAACCTGAAAAGGCAGATTGTGTGACGAGCCAATCAGCACAAGCTGTGAGGACTTGTTCGAGTAGGTTCCCCATTCGGCTTCAGCTACCAGATAGCAGAAGTGTGCTGCGTGAAGTTGTCCCCTGGATGCCAAGGTGTCTCCTAAAGCCACAATAGAGGCCCGGTCTCGCTGAGTGTGGCCAGTTGGATTGGACACCATCATGGCTAGATGTTGCCGCCAGTCGCCCCATTGCTGTATATTGTAACTCTGCAATACATACACAAATAAAATGAATTCTAAAAATGGCAAGACTTTACTATCTAGAGCATCAAAAACATTTAAAAAATGCAAAATGACAAAACAATATATCAATAATTTCTGGAACAACAGACAAAATAAGAACAAAAAAGATTTAAATACAGTAAAAAGACCATTCTCTAACCTTTGTAATTTCTGGTCTCTTTCCAGACAACTGCTGGAAAAGAGTTTGCAATACATCTGTTTGAGGTATTGAGTTGGAGAAAGCAGCTAATACACGGGTGTGGGTTGTGCCATCCATCTTGTAAGACAGAGCCAGAGCATGGCCCCACAAACCTTCTCTCATTGCATAATCAACAGCTTCTCTTTTCCTTCCCAAGGAAAGATATTCACAGAACTTTTTCAAAATCAAAGATTCATCCTTTGCAGCTGTTGGTGGACTTGTCTGAGCATGCATATCAATACCTTCATCTTGAGGACTTGCATCTGAGGCAGGAGTGTTCGGAATTTCATCTGGAGTTGTATTAGGAGTCACCTGCTGGGGATGTGAGCCAACTTCTCTTCCCTTCAACAGCAGACTTGCTATATCGCTTCCAAATAATTTGCCATTTTGTTTTACAAGTAGTGCTAAATATTCCCAAATTAACACAACAGATTCACGATCATTTAAGTTTGGGTCGTTTGCTGCCTCTGCCACTTGATTGTAACAATATTTTACAACGACTTCTTTGTGTGTATCAGCTCTGTTGAATACAGAGAGAGAGAAAAAAAAAAATTGTATAACACTCGGAATATCTACTGTGCCAAAAAGTATATAGTGTGTGTGGGTTTTTTATCATCTCATATGGCAGTGCATGCAATTTTATTAATAAACTCAGTTTGAGGATACAAAAACAAGAAATCGCTAAGCTTCAACTTACAATGTGAGGGGTCCTGGATAATTCTTCATCTGCTGTATTGTCTCCTTTAGTGCTGAATCTAAGCATAGCATTTTCTGCACATCACGAAGCTGTACAATAGCCTTTTCTCCTTCTTTGGGATCCTTCGGCAGCACCATCAGCAGCTGCCCACCATGTGTGAACGAAGCACTTATGTGAGGTCGGCCAAACTGCACTGGGGTCATACGCTGTGGAGCCTCACTGGGAGCATCATCAGTTACTGATGGAACACCACTTAGTTCACCACTGAAATATTGAATGTTTTAACAGCATCAAAAGACATCTCAAATTTTGCAAAAAGAAAATGCACAAAAAAGAAAGGAGAAACCAAGTTAACTCACATGTGAGAAGCTCTCTCTATTATCACTTCACACTCATGAAATGATGTCTTACTTACTAGAGTGGTATATCTACTGACTTATTATTACTGAAATAAGTAAATCAAACCTATGTGGAGTTTAACTACCAAATGTATCTGATACTACATATCTGTATTACAATATATTTTCTCATTTTTGCTTTGCTTATTTTTATTATTACTTTTCCCAGTTAACCTTATGATCTAGATGATTTGACCATGTCATGCAAAAAATTAAATTAGCTGAAGGCCAGGGTGATGGGATTAACTTCCCATGAGTGTTTAAAGCTTTTGGAGGGTGGTTAGACTTGCTGAGTATTTAGGAAGAGGTTCTTCCATTAGAGGGTGATTAGACTCAGTCATGGCTCACCATCCTTGAGCCATAAGGCCACAACAATTTTTTTCTTGAATAGCGGGCCCGCCGACATTTATTTCTGGGAAAATAGGGGGAGGGAGGGGGGGGGAGAGAGAGAGAGAGAGAGAGAGAGAGAGAGAGAGAGAGAGAGAGAGAGAGAGAGAGAGAGAGAGAGAGAGAGAGAGAGAGAGAGAGAGAGAGAGAGAGAGAGAGAAAGGAAAATCCCAAATCTTTTTTATTCTAATTTCCTGCCGATATTGTGACGTCCGCAAAAGAAATAGCAAAAAAATAACTGCAAATCAATTTGTCCATGATTCATTGTATATGGTATCATTTCTCCCGTCCTCAAAACAAAAATAAAATATATTTGCCATAAATACCTTATTCTCACATGTCATGTCATGTCTATTGTCTATCATGAATACTTTCGATTTTGATTTCCAAAATAATAAATTATGGTTGAAAGAATTCTTTGTCTGTTTTCATTCAACTCTTCGAAGACTTGTAATAAGACAGAAATGTACTTCCTACAGGTGGGGCTGGAACTGATACATTCTCTTAATTTTGATATTTTGAAGGTAGGAGGTACACTTATCTTATTTTGGAGCTGGGGATTCCCCCTCCCCCCCTTCCCGCCAACATTTCCTTATCACCAGACTTGCCAGCTATTCAAAAAGAATTGCTGTGGCCTAACTGGAATGGTGGGGAAGGTTGTATTAAAGAAATAATATGGAATCAATGCAAGGAAAACAGTCTATTACCATCCAGAAACTACTCATCAAATGACACATATATATATTGGAAAATGGCAATGATATAAACACTAATGCAGAAAGAGAAAATAACATTGCAAAGGGGAGTCTTGTCACAAAACTTCAGTGTTTCTTTTTTACTCAATGACAATACAAGTGCTCAATACAAACAGAACATAAAAATAATCTATACTGGCTAATATATCATTAAAATCATTAAAGAATATCAGCATATAAATAATATCTAAAAGGATTATCTAGAAAATAACACCCTTAAAGTTTAATTCATGTATAAATGTCCCATCCAATGTGGTTTTGTTGTACCAACCTTGTTTAGCAAATGATGGCTCCACAGATACTTATAAACCAAGGAGTCAATTACTACACCTACCTGGATCTCTTCTGTTTTCCCCATTCCTTGATAGTAATAGATTCTAACAGATTCATAATATGATGCCTTTATGTGTGAGCCCCTCAGTGTGAATACAACAATAAATCAATTACAAAGAAAGAAAAAAAGAAAGAAAGTAAAAAAAAATATGTACATACATACATACATACATACATACATACTTTAATTAAGATTAATTGATGAACAGCATTAACTCATTAAGGAACAAACTCCAACTTTTACACATTAAGGCAACCATCTGTTGCTTTTTCTTTTTAATTCTCAATTTTCATGACAATTTTGATGAAACTTGCACCCTTTTATTTAGATCTTAGCCTGACCTCTGAAGTAATTTTTGTTTTTTTTTATTCACCATTTTTTTTATATATAACAAAAAAAATGCATGAATAAAATAAAATAAAAGTTCTCATTTTCAAAATTGACAGTTTCAAAAACTAGATCAAATCCAAAAAAAAAAAAAATATACAGGCATTCTGATGTGATCTTTGAACAGAGTCATCCTAAATCTAGTACTTGTTAAAAGCAGTTGTTTTCGATTTCGACTTGTGAATATTGTAAATACAAAAGAATTTTTCATTCTTGTTTTTTCAAACATTTTCATAACTGTTTTGGTATTAACAAAATTGGGTATAAGAATATTCATCCTTTAACATAATCCTCTCTTATTGACCCACATTCCGAAGTACTGCGGAAATTCCTAGCAAGTAACAGTATCTAACTAAGCGACATTTGTTATAGTAGGGTCACACTGATTTGGCGTTTTAATAAGCCTACATTGACCATCTTTGGAAATTTCTCTAAAATCACCCCAAAATAACAAAGGTATTCTGATTTCATTTTCGAACAGAAAAATCTTTTATCTAGATCTTGTATGAAGTACTTTTTACGATTATGACTTAATTTTTGGTTTGTGAATATTTTGCGTTGAAAACTTTTATAACACCATAAGAAGGACTTTTTTATATTCATGACACTTTTACATGAAGCACTGGAAAAAATTGCAAAAACAAAATGACTTGATTTATCATTACACTATAAAATGAGCCATGAAACATTTATTTTAGACTAAAATTGCCTGTGCTACAGTTTTTGAAGAATACAAAGGATTGCACTTGAGTTGGAGTGTTTCTTGGCATACATTGGCCATTTAAAAAAATATCCTCCCAAAAATAATACAGCCATTCTGATTTCATATCTGCAGATGCACATTCTTCAAATTTGACCTACTTTTTATATTTTTTATTTTTTAGGTGACTTTTTTTTAACCAAAAGTTTATTTGTTTTTTTTTATATGTCACTTTTACAAGAAGCACATAAAAATATTGCAAATCCTTACTGCATTATGCAATAGATCTACTATTCAGCTACAAAATCAGCCATATTACATTAATTTCCGACTGAAAATGCATGTGCTACACGTAAAAGTACAGAATTATCACAATTTTTTCCTTCATTTATTTTTTTTACATTATGGGTAACAAATCAAATATGAAATAGTTGTGAATGATGTAATTATATATCATTTCCCTCTACTATTGCTCTAATGGGGCTTTACAACATATAATACCGATCTGAAAAATGATCATTCGCCATGCCAGCATATGCTCATGTGTGTTTTTAAGGCAACAGTCCCAGGCCTTGTAACTCTATGGGATGAAACACCCACCTTTCACACCAATACTGTACTCTGTCGAATGTATGTGAATATATCTAACATTCTGTAATCTCGATTGCCCAAACCTGAGCAGTTAGCCAGGGTGGTAAATAAATTTACTTAACTTAACTTAACTTAACAGTAATGTAAATTTATGTATATAAGATATATAAGTATATACAGATCATTTCTGTGTATTCCATGACCTTATGTTTATATACTGTTACTTCCATTTGTATTAACACTTTACTGATTTTTTAAAATCATTACAAAAAAATCTATTTGCCAATAAACATTCCTGAACTGATAACTTCTAAGTATTGCCAGTTACATACTAAGCCAAGATTATGTTTACAGGAAAAGGCCAATTCAATTTGAAAATATGGTGACATATCTTAGTGTTGGTAAATTATAGATTGTAGATTTAACTATGCTCTAGCCTTTGTTGGCACCTAGCTAAGAACTAGGTGTGAACAAGTAAAGTACCTGAATGGAAAATATACATGAAAAGCACATGAAGCTCATCACAGAGTAGAACTGGCTATAGACAATATATATAACCAATTCTGGCTGAGACCAAAGCTATACTATATACTATAAAACTCTAATAATAATTCATTATCAAGTAAAATATATTGGGAATAGATATAAAACAAAGCTTTTAATTTTTTCAGTGAAATCAAAATATTGTATAATAGCAGATAAAGTTTTAACATATGAACAATGAATATGATTATGAGATGAAAAGCTAATGGCCAGTTAGTGAAAAAAAAAATACAAATACATGTGTGAGTGGGCAACTGAAATGCATATAAATATATAGTGAATAGATGAAATGGATAGATAAAAAATTGACTATGTACAAGTATGATGAAAATGTGGTGAAAGGCTTTCTAGTATAGAAAGTATCAGGAATGTATACATTATGTAAACGACAATTCACTGATATAAATACTTTCACTAATTGCTTGGAATACAATTGAAGACCCTAGTGTAAATTGTGGTGTAAAAAGCAAGCAAGGGCAAGGAACCCACCTGGCATAGGATTTTAGTTGAGAGAAGGAACCCTCAGGGTAGATGGTTGAGGGCTCATACGCACCAGTAGATGATCGTCCATGAAAGTCTTGCATGAACTGGCTGTAGCATAACCACACCACACAGACACAAGAAAAAAAAACAAAAAAACATTGCAATCAGTGCCATGCACGCCAAGCACATAGTGTTTCATGCATAAACTAAAATATAAAAAAAAACA